AAGCTAAGCAATATAAATTTTAATTCTTTTCTGGGATATTTTTATTATTTCTGCTTAGATGACTTGTGACAAAATTGCTTTTCTCTTTTCACAATGTATTTGTGTTCCTCGCTAATGGGAAAGCGGCAGATATTTTTAGTGTCGTCTTTCATCAAGTCAGACCGTGCTGAGGACCTGACTGCATTCTAGTTCCATGGGAATTTTGCTAATGGGTGCGTGCAACCTTATCCAAGTTCTGGAGGGTAAGCTTACAAATTAAACGGGAAGAGGAATATAAAAGTGGTCTTTCTCAAGATGTTGGCAGAATACCCATCTTTTGTTATTTCGTTTTTACTTTACCATGTTTTCCCATCAAGTACAGAACGTCTAAGTTGGGTGTATTAATGCGTAAGATTAGCCCAGACAATAGAAACAGTGAGCTTCCCAAGTAGAGTTTTAGCTGTAATCTTACATGGACAAGGCAGGAGAGGGAGAGAGGGACTCTCCCAGTCCCCATCTGTCTAGTTAATAGTGTTAGTGACATTAGTGGGTGTAACAGGAAAATGGAAGGTTGAAGGCATATTTCAAAACAAGCCACCCAGTTTTACTGTTTATATACTAACTTCCTGATTCATATTCTAATGTAATAAATAGCCACTGTACACTTGTAAATAGCACATAAGGAGGATGTGTGAAACTGGGGCTATTGGGTGTTTATCCGGGACCTACTTACCCTAATTATCCAGCCCAGGGTACCTTCTTCTCCTGCACTACATTCTTTTCCAAGGCAGTCTTAACTGCTTGGTTTTAAGTGTCAGTGGCTCCCGAGTTTGTCTCTCTTACCTGACTGTCTTCTCCAGACTTTCCAGTGTATTTTCTGGGTGATCTCTGCCTCCTGAGCCCTTGTCTGGAAGTGTACATTTGATCCACCTTCTGGATCTACTGCCCGTGTGTTGCTGATTTCAGTTCTGTCCCCTCCAGCAGCTCTTTCCAGCAAACCTGCAGCTCTTCTTCTGCTTTCTATCCCTCTATGACCTCCTGACCCCACCCAGATGGCCATGGTACCTGTAAACAGTCTCCTCTCTCTCTCTCTCTCTCTCTCTCTCTCTCTCTCTCTCTCTCTCTCTCTCTCTCTCTCGTCAGAAAGTGACAAGAAGGGACAAGGACAAGATATAAGCTCCCAGAAGCCTGTTTCTTCCAGCTGCCTGCCCCGCAAGGTTTCACTAGTCTTCCAAAGTTCGCGCTTCGGAAGTTCTCTTCTGGGCTAGGAAACGAGCATTTGTTTCCCTCTGTGGTCTTTACCTTGTGTTTACCTTACCCGGGTCTCTGGCCATGCTGGGTTAGGGCCCACTCTTCCGGACATCTCCAGTTCCTGTCCACAGATGCAGTTATGTTGTGAGCTTCAAAGATTTAGTGTTCAACTGTATGAGTTTGAGGGAGATGCTGTTCACCCCATAACAGAGCTTGAGGTGACGTGGTTGGGGAGCAGGTTCAAGCGGAGCCTAGGACTCCACGATGTTTCTGTACGCCTGGAAGCCTGCTGCCTCTGCTGTTTTCATCAGCCCTGATGAACCCTGGGTCAGTCATCCAGAAAGGCTGTCCTCCTCTGCTGGTGGGACAGCCATTTACTCTCTGGTGACAGTGGTAGACAGGACGCAGGTAGAGAATCCCTTGTCTCATTTCAGTCTACGAAGCTACTGTAGCTGGGCGTTTCTGTTGCTTTCCTCCACAAAACCCACTGTTGCAGCTGATGGTAGCGAGATGACAGAGTTCAGTTTCGACATTTCCCCTTCTCTCTCAGCAGAGATGCTCGTGAACCATGAGTTGACTCAAAAGCCAGAAGGATATGAAGTAGAGGAAAAGATGTCAGGCATCCAGTTACCCCAAAGATCAGCACCCTCAAATACTAACTCTTGAGTTCTCCTCAAACATAAATGCTTTTCTTTCTTGGTTGGGTCAGGATAGCCACCAATGTGTATGGACATTAAAATAGAGAGGCACTGAAAGCTTGCTTCCTTCACGGACAGAACTTTCCATGCATTCTGTAAAGAAGGGAAAGAGAGCCGGGTCTGTTCTGGACGATAAACAGACTTGAGCTTTGTAGCTGTATCTCAGGCATCACTAGGAGCACACTTTCCTCCTTGAGGTATACGGGGCACAGGAAAGCTTTTGATCATAGGAACTGCAGCAAGCCTGACAATGGCGGACAAACGTGCGGCTGCATCTGAAAGTTGCTAAAGCTCCCAAGCTTAGCAAAACTATGCCCTATTTTCCTGACTTGGTGAAGTGTTTTCATGGTGCCCAGAAAAGGAGACTTTTATTTAAAAATCTTGGATTCTGTGGGATTCCCTGTCCGAACATGAGTGTAGGGAACTGCTGGGGTCAGGCATCGTTTGCGCTTTGTCTAAGCTAGATTCTTCCTTCTCTACAAACCAGTGTGTCACCATAGACTAAAATGAGCCAGTTCCATGTTCTCCGTGGTCTCCTCTAGGCCGCTGTAATAGAAGGGAAGTGGCAGTGCACACTGGGAATAAGCCCAGGCGCAGATACCAGTTCCCTGCATATTTTACTTCAGATGCCAATGTTTTTATGTCTATGACTAAATGTTTCAGTAAAGCAAGACAACAAAATTTTATGTACACATACCCATGCATGTAGGTACACTGAAATTGTTTTGTTTTGTTTTAAAAAGACAGGGCTGGAAAGATGGCCAAGCCATAGAACACTGTCTGTTCTTCCAGAGTACCCAGATAAGTACCCAGCAGTTACCTGGCATCTAACAACTGTTTGTAACTCCAGTTCCAGGAGATCAGACACTCTTTTCTGGCCTCCAGGGGCATTAGACATGTGCATGGTACCCGGACATACATGCAAGAAAACATTCATATATATATAATTTTTAAAATTTTAAATAGGACATAAAATATACCATCTTAAAACTACTTTGAATGCACAGTTGGAATTGTTCCTTGCCTTTTTGTTGTAAAATGATATCCAGATCCTTTTCTCCTACACATCTGAATCTCTGTACATGATTTTTAAAGAAAATACTATTTCTCCCCACACACAGCCTTGGTAATCGCCATTCTGCTGGGACCGTACTTGGGTCCTCTGTGAGAGCAGGGTCACTCATAAAGCTGAGACATCTCCCCGCTTCAATCTTTAGTCTTTGAAGAAACTTCTTTCTCTTTTTAAGATTTGTATATTCAATTATGTACTTGCAGGGGAGGAATGCACATGAGTGCAGATACCCTTGAGGGCCAGGAGACATCATTGTCTACTGGAGCTTGAGTTACAGGCACTGGTGAATCACCCAAGGTGGCTGTTGGCAGCCAAAATCAGGTCCTCTGGAAGAGCAGCTGGTGCGGTTAACCACTGAGCTATCTCTCCAGCCCTGGACCTTCTATGGGAGTTGTACCACTTTTTGATCTCACTACTGGTGTGCAGGGTTGCAGTTCCTCCACATGTCTTCACTTGTCATTGCCTGTATTATTTTTTTCAGTATTAGCTATTCCAGTGCTATGCACTAGTTCTTACCGTCATATTCTGGTCTGTGTTTTGTTGGTTCAGCGCCTTTATGGAAGAAAGAGGCTTCAAATTCTCTAGCCTACCACACACTGTCACAGTAGCCATGGTTGCTTTAATAAGCCTGCTTTGTTATTCCTTCTCTCAGTGTAATGTTCTAGGAAACACTACCTTCCAACAGAGCAAAGCAAAAAACAACCCAAATTAGTGCTGGGTCTAGGGCTATGCAAATAAATTATTGACATAGTTGTTCCCCTCTTATTTCCTCATAACTGTTGACATGGAACTGGGAGGGTAAACCCCTTCTAACTTCCGAGAGAATGCCATTGTATCACTAGCTCCTGCTGGCTACTTTTGTGTGTTTACTAATGTGTGCCAATTAGCTGAATACTTTTTCTAATACGGTTCACGACCTTCATAATTTGCACAATTCCTAAAGGATCGTGCTACACAGCTGATGGGCTTCCCACTCACTGGCTTAAGTGTAAGAAGTGGGCAAGTCAGTCAGTCCTGTGTGCTCGGGCTTCATGAAGAGGGCACTGTTTCTGAGCACAGCCCCACTGGCCGAAGACAACTTGGTTTGAATGTTTTGGCTTTGTTATAAAAGTGGGAACCATCAAAAGAGATTTTTCACAAGAACAACACGGAAGCTAAGAATTGAGTCGATACTGTAAACTCAACCAGGGTTAAGTACTACAATTAATAACTGTTTACGGCAGCTTCCCACCCCTTCAGTCATGACGCTCACTCCGTGGCAGGAGGGAAAAGCAGAGGGATTGGCACGGGTGGCAGACTCTTAGCGTTCTGCCGTTGTTTTCACGTCTTCAGGCGAACCTTGGCTAAGGGAAGCTCTGCTTAGCTACTTAGCAATGTTGTGGTTTGGTGCTTCAGCTGGGTGGGGTATAGTTGTGCTGGTTGGGCACCCACTTAACTCGATCACTGGAGATGCCGACACAGTGTTTCTCTGTAGCACTCAAAATGGTTCCACCAAAGCATGCGAGCAGAATCTCGGACAGTCAGTCCTAGCTTTGACGCTGTCGTGTTAACTTAGCTTGTGCTGCGTCTGCACATGAAAGAAGACACCGATTGTAGCACATTAAGATGGCAACTGTCAGGCCAGTGCTCGGAGGCAAAGGCTGTGCCCACGTGAGCCATTAATGGCTGGGTGAGTTCAATCAGATACGCCGCCTCCAGTGTGTGCATAATGCTATTTACTAGATTTTAAATGGACTGCTGAGAAAGATGAAATATAATCTCATGTATTATCTCCGTCTTGTCTTAAAAAAAGGTAATTAAATTGTCCTCTTGCTAGCGTATATTTTATTAGCCTTTGAGGAGTCAAAGAAAGGTGCCCCTGTAGAGTTGAAACCTTTCACTCAAGTGGAATGTCACAAAGTGACTTTGTGAGCTCTAAAAATCCCATATACCTAGGCCAGCTGGATAGCATTGGAAAATACGACAGGAATTTCATTATTTCCCGTTTCTCTTCTTTACAGAACCTGGAGAAGGTTCTAGTGGAATTCAACCACAAGGAGTTGTTCGATTTCTACAACAAGGTCTGTGTTTTAAATGTTTTCTGAAATGTAGAGATTTGCTAGCACCTCTGGTTTTATACGTTTTTTTATTTTTGATGCCTTATTATAGGGCCAACTTCTTTATACTCCTGTAAACACCTCGTATCTCACAGTAGCTTCCTAGGCAGAACCAAGACAAAGAGACTCTGAAAACAAAGCCAGAAAAAATGAAAATGGTTTTAACTAAAGAGTTAGGATTGATGCTTTCTGTAAGACTGAGCAAGGCACTCTGCCCCCTGTAGCCTCTAGTCCGCGGATCAGCTGAAGTACTTCATGGCTGGGCCCAAGTATAGAAGGAAGCTGCCAGATTTTAGTGATTTATCTTTCATTTGTATTTCATTTTTCTTTCCAAATATTGATTTTTGTACGCCAGGAAAATGCATTCCATTAACTACCAAACTTTAAAGTCTTACCATATGGCGATAATTTACTAAGAAATAGCTGAGCGCACATAAGGCAGTAATACTTAGAAGTCTTCATCCTTTATAAATGTAAAAAAAAAAAATTAAATGACAAGCCTAAATCCTAACATGTTTACCTAGCAAGAAAAGTGGCCTGGTGTTACCCTTATGCCCTGTGTGCGGGTGGGTTCATTGTGTGGTATGCCCGCTGCCATTGCTTCTCTTTAGTTTGCATGTCTCTAACATTTTGTATGGCTTGTTCCCTTCACTAACTTGCTGTCATTATTTTTGTCTTTATAAACAGCTAGAGACCATACAAGCACAGCTGGATTCCCTTTCATGATGTCCTTGAAGACTGGCTTCGCAGTCACATTCCCGCCACCATCGAAGAGGAACTGCCCGAGTATATTTTTGAGAGGACTCAGTGACTTCATTCTACAGATACTATAACCTAATCACTTCTTAAACAAATACTTTCCATGAAGGGAGATCACAATATGAGCACTGGGGTTTCTGGTACACCCTCTCTCCTCGCGTGAGCCAAGAACAACTGTTGAAAACTCTCGGAGAGAAATCACAAGTGAATGCCGTGTTGCCTTTCCGTCAGGTTGCTGCATCATCACTTCGCCGCAGTCCTTCTTTCACGGATCAGCGAAGTCTGGAGGTGGAGGTGTGATGGGTGCCCTAGCAGACTATGGAGCCTTATAATTACATTGCTTAATTAGGGAAGCAGCCCCAGGCCATCAAATGCTCTGACATTTGTCTTACGACCTTATTTTGCTTGAGATACAATACAAGAAGGAGATCAAAATGGTGCCAGTATTATTCTGAGTTAATTCCAATGTGATCCTCTTGTTCTGCCCGCTTGGATTTTTCTGTCTTTAATGGTTTAACAATCATCTAGGTTTATGTACACTATTGCAGATTCATAACAGTGCAGTTCACAGCATGGAGAGGATTGAGATCGTGAAGGAAAACACCTGTAATGAGTCCTACATGGGAATCTGACATTTTAGATCAGAAACTCTTGGCATTCTCCTTCTGTGGATATACTCACTCACAGTGTCCCTCTGTGGGTCTCTGTTAATTCCCGTCCACCACAGGAAGAAGCTTCTCCGAGGCTTGAGTGACACACAGTGATCTGCACATACAGCAGTGTATATAGAGCTCATTTCGTTGCTGTGCGCCTTTAGCAGAATAAGAGTAAGTTTAGAAGTTCTTATTTCATTGTGATTAACAGTTTGGTTTCTATATTTTCAGTCAGGTGAATACATACAAACATATTTTAAACATATTCAATTTGTCTCAAGACTTCTGATACATATTGCTAAGTTGTTTCCCCAAACAGTGGTTTTAGTGTTTGTGCTTCCCTCCACCAATGCATAAGAATTCACACACCCCACGCTTTTCCACCAGCGTTTTCCTCCTCCTATACACTCCACCCTTAGCATTCTTCTTGTCTGGGAGTTATAGTTCGTATCAGTCAAGGGATATGAACTGAAGAAGGAAACACTGCTTCCCAGTAGAAGTATGTTGTTAGTAAATCCAGGACTGAAGGGAAAAAAAATGTGTTTTTTTTTTTTTAAGATCAGCAAATGTCTGCAGCACAGTAAGTAAGGTCTTAAAGTCAGATATTTATTTTCTTCATACATATTCACTGAGTGCCATTATTCACGTGCTGCCAAGAAGTCTGCATGCATAGCCACCGTGTTGACCATGATGAGCAAAACAAACAGTCCCTACCCACTTGGAAATAGAACGGGAGGGTCACTAAAGTAAACAAGCTTGCAGTAAATTGACAAGCATGCGAGAAGTAATAGTTGGAGCCTATTAGGGACAACTTCTCCACGGAGCTAAACCTGAGGCTGTGGGTTTCAGGAAGGATTCTCTGGGGAGTGAGACTGGAACTGAGTTCTATTCGATAAGGTATAATGACAGAATGGAATCAGAGAGAAAGGCATTTCAGACGGACTGCGCCGTGCAACAAAAACACCCTAGGGGTTAGAAAAGATTTAGCAGTGTATTTCAAGGACCAACAGATCTGTGTGCATAGAGCGTGCTAGACAGTGGACTGGGGGAGCTGCTACAGTTTGTGAGCCAGATGGGTGTCAGTCCTCCACTCCCACCGCGCCAACTGCCAACATTCCTATGATCTAGGAATTACAATGTCTAAGTTTTCCTGTATCCAAGCCACCGCCATCTTTGCCCTTAGACTACCCTGCATCCACTCCAGCTCACTTTCAGCCCAGGCTTCATTCAGGGCTAATTAAACAGTAATCCTACTAATTCTACCATTGCCTTACTTAAAATCCTTCAAAGGGTCCCATTATACATCAAACAAAATGTAATGACCCGGCCCCTCAGCCGTATGCTAGTTCATGTTGGCTGTGCATATGGTAAACAAATTACAATTTGCTAAAGATCATTTCTCTTAGTTTCTTAATAGGAATAATAAGCTAAACAATAGGAATGTTTTGAGGATTAAGTGAGATAAATTTGTGTTAAGCATTTCATCCAACTCTTGATTCCTGTAATCACATGAAAGTGTTAGTGGTATTTTTACAACCCTTGAGAAAATAGGCTTTTTATTAAAAGGGTTTCAGGTTAGCTTGAATTATTGTAGAAATTACTAACAGCTTTATGAAAGTCTTTCTGAGGTTATTTGAAGTTTGAACAACAACTCCATTTTTTTCTACCTAATAATGCTAAGTTATCCCTTCTTAATTTTCTATTATCAAACTATCATGGTGTGTACGTGATTGCACCAGAATAAGAAACATGTGTTTGTTTGTTTGTTTATTTGTTTGTTTTATGAGTACCTTTCCACATGGCCCTTCTGGCTTTAAGAAATCTTTCCCTCAGGCTGGAGAGATGGCTCAGTGGGTAAATGTACTTGTTGCTCAGGGCTGATAACCTGAATTCAAGTCTCCAAAATGCACATAAAACCAAGACATAGAGTTCAAGCATCTTTGATCTCAGTTGTTCCTATGAGGAGATGGGATATGGAGAGAGGAGCATCCCTGGAAACTCAGCCTAGGTAGCCTAGTGTATGCAGTGGAAACAAGAGAGAAGCAGGGACCAGCACCCAAGCTTTGCCTTTGACTACACAAGCATATTGCATATGCAAAGCTGCACACACCCACAGTACACATGATACTTACTGTTATTTCATTTTGCCTTAAATAATGTCTTCCCTACATTGTTCATTATAGCAGGGGTCAGTAAATGGCCCTGCTTGCCATGTCTTTCTCATAGAACTCCACTAGTTGTCTAGCTGCCCGACTCACTCTAGAGACTACTGGATCTGTTGGGAGAGAGTACGTGGTTGGGGGCATTGTTAAGGGACCGACCATGGGTGAGCTCGAGATGTGACTGAGAATGCAACCAGCAACACCGGGGCTCATAGCCCTGCAGCCAGAAAGAAATTCTGTACGATCTCGAAGAGCCCAGAAGTAGGTTACACATTGTAGCTGATACCTTCATATAGTTTTGTGAGATTCTAAACAGATCAGCTAAACTATGCTTAGACTCATGACCCAGTTAATCGTGATAAAAATGTGTTGTTTTAAACTTCCAATGCCTGGTAATTTGTTATGGTACCATGGAGAACTAAAGCAACAGCTACGCCTTTTGTATATATATATGTATGTCTACATTTGCACCAACAGCAACGTTGAGTAGTTAGAACAGAGACCCCCACATAATGTGTGAAACCTAAGCATGGTCCTTTGTGTGTGGGGGGGGGTGTACAGATGCCTGCCTTATATTCTGCCTCCTAAACTAGAATATTCATAGATGACACAAGAAGTTATAGGATAGATTCGGTGTGTGTTTCCATAGCTTCACTTAAATTGCTACCCAACAAGGAGCTCTATCTTCCATGCTGTTTTGCAGCTACTTCAAACTATAAGGCTGTCTCACCGGTGACTTGTGAAGGAAACAGAATTGGAGTCAGCTTTGAGCAGGCAAGGATTAAAGTATTTGAGAGGTAAAGAGCAATAAGGTGGAGGAAACCCAGGTCCCTGCTCACTTCTGCCTACATGGCAGACGGCTATATGAGAAATAAAGCATGCTTGAGCAACTGTATTTGGGTCAAGTGTAGCCTGTAAGCTGCAATTTAGCCCATAGCTTAACTAATTTGATAGCATCTTTTTAATTAGGCAGTAATTTAAAATATATGTTAGAGTGACAAACATTTTACAGCAGATAGTTCAAACTGGATGGATGTCAAAGAGAACATGGAAAACTTAGAGAAATCCAAAAGCTGACAGCAGTTCACAACTTCAAGATCAACTCTTGGGGTTACTATGACCATATCTTCTTCCTCCTCTCCACGTGTGGCTACCTACTTGAAGAGTTGGAGCAAACCTGAGTGGACATTGTAAATTTGCCCCGAAGTCTTCCCATAATCCCTTTCAGCTGCTAAAAAGGGACAGGTGGGACAGTTCTGACTTAGTAAGAGGCTAGTCAGGGTTTAAAATTTTAAGTACAGATCAGTCAATTTTGCTTCCCTAAAACTTTGGGGTTTTTTTGTTAAAATTATGCAAATAGTCTACTGAATAGACCAGCCTCATTTAACGCTAAAATTAGAGACACTTAATTTGAATTTTATAGTAAAGTTTAATGGCTTTTATAATTTTGAAAACCTGAAAGGATTTTCATCATTGTTCCCCTTCTCCCAAACCCTTGAGTTCTCCTGAGTCTGTTGTGTCTCTGAGGTGGAGGATGAGGTGTCCACCTCCACAGTCCAAATCCAAGTGATGGTGGTTGCTAGCTTGCTTTGCCTTATTGAAAACAGACCACTTCTACTTTCTATTTAAAAAAAAAAAAAGACTATAAATATAAGGAAATGCTGCTGTATCAGATACAGTCTATACACCCAGAAGGAAGATGACGATGGCGGACTAGTCTTTGAGACAGGAAAAATACTGAGTATATGGCACCGTTCCCTTAGCAGGACCTGAGTTCAGTCATTTTCAGCCTCTCGTGAGAATCTGAGAGTCATTTCTTAAAGGATTCTACTTCTTTTTTTTTTCCTTTTTTTTCTTTCTTTCTTTGAGAGGGTTTCTCTATGTAGCCACGCTTGTCCTGGAACTTGTTCTGAAGACCAGACTGGCCTCAAACTCACAGGGATTCACCTGCCTCCGCCTCCTGAGAAGATCAAAAGTGTGTACCACCACCAGCAGGCCAAGGCGTCAAGTTTTTTAAAGTATCTTTTTCTTCAAAGAACTCTATGACGGAAAGCAAAAGACAGTAAATTTAATCATTGCATTTATTGTTACCGGTGTTTTGATTTTTTACCTTTTCACAAACACAAATTACATACATATCTACTTTTGAAATTGAATTTTGGAGAACACAGTTCATCTTACCAGAATTGTTTATGGCAACATCAGTAAGGAAGGTTTTTCTCCTCTGTCATAAATATGGATTTACCACGAGGCTTAGCTTCCTGATTTCTCAAGGTCTTTCTTCAGGTCTCCTAAATTCCTGCTTTTTTTCAAGTTGTCTTTCTAGCCATAGTACAGACATAGTATAGACAGGCTGCAGGTTCAGCCAGGCCTCCTATAGATTTAAAAAAAAAAAAAAAGATACTCCACCTTTACACACACACACACATACACTCACACACACCAGGCAGGAGTGTGCTTATGCTCTGGCAGGGAAACAGAGTAATTTTCCAAACGATCAGAGCCCGGGTGACTCACCAGTCCCAGACCATGTGTTCCATGCTGCAGTCCAGCCTCTCAGCGACATGCTGATGGAAGTGGTTCTGCAAGCTTCATGGTCCTTGAGAAATGTTGGCTGGATGAGT